TCCAGATCCAAATCTTAGACCCATAACTGATTTCAATATGATTCAAATTTCAGATTTGGAATCCATATCGAATAAATTCTCAGCCATAAGACTTACACTGTAATGTACCCCCAACTTCAAAACCACTTTATAAAGAAGATGAGAGACCCAAAAACAGCTCCCGTATAGATCTTCTTATCTCCAAGAACAATTTCCTACGAATGTGACCTGAAGCCCCAAATTGCATCAACTATACAGTTATTGCCAACCAAAGTCTTGGCTTAAACAATGGATACAGGAATTCAGAGTTTATTATGGAGCTCTAAATCAAATCTTATAAAAAAACCGCTACAAAAGCAAATATCCTCAAACATTAATAGGATGCGAACCAGTCAAAATCAGACCGACTTTTTATTTTATTGTTTTTATTTTTTAATGACCGATTCGATAGACCATATCGGCAATCTGTCTAACCGGGTTCAGAAATCCAAATACATTGTCCAAGTTACTGATCCAATCATTAAAACCTTGAAAATAACCCAAATGTCTCAACCCTCAAAAACAAAATAATATTACAAATATAGGATAAAAGCAAGTTTGGCAACAAAATGGCCGTATGAGGGCTTCATCCCTCCACCGAAGGCACATCACTTTTTATGGCAAACCATAGTTGGAAAGAAAACAACACATACGTCTCCATTGTCCACATTAGATTAGTCTAGCTGTTATTCGACTGGCTGTTAAAATGGTGTAGGGTTTAATCCAAGTTAAAATTAATCCAATTATTAATTGACCCGGTTGGATCGGATTTTAAAAATAAAAAATAAAGATATGAATAATAATTTATAAGAATAATGATAATGTGGGACTCTGTCACACATACTGGCATAAGACCTTAACAAATCACCTTTAGATTTGGATTCAAATCTCGAGGTAAAATTCAAGTATCCCAAATTCCCACTCAGCCATATAAAACTTGCAACCTATCTCTACATGTACTGACATTGTGAAGAAAAGGCAGAAGTTTTACTTGAAAAGAGAGAGATGGGATGGGATAAAGGCTCCTGATTGGGTGAGCTACTGTGGAGAGAGATCCTACCACCAAGAGACAGCGAGTGAAATGGGATTGGGTAAAGGAGGGTGCTGGGGCGAGCTGTTGTGGAGAGAGACCATACTGCCAAGAGAGAGAGTGAAATGAGATGGGGTAAAGGGCTGCTGTGGACAGAAGAGAGATCGAGATCCTACTACAAAGGGTTTATGTGAAGACAGAGAAATGGGATGGGGTGGCTGCTGTTGGGGCGAGCTGCTGTGGAGAGAGAGAGCAGAGGGTTTTTCTTGGGTAAAGAGAAATGGGATGGGGGTAATGAGAGATGAAGAGAGAGTGGTGGGAAGAGAGAAGGATGGCACGGTAAGAGAGAGAGACCCAGCCAGTATGGTGGAGATAGGTTGTACATTTTATATGACGTTAGAATTCTATCTCAAAATCCAATAGTGATCCGTTGGGGTCCTATATCATTATGTGTAGCAAGATCTCATAGGATTATTACTCAATTTATAAATACAAAATATGTAATAAAATAATTCCTCTACTAACACGATTAAAACTAGTCAATCAAACCTGTCAAACATTAGTTTTAACTAGATTTTTATCAGACCCAATTATTTTTTAAAACCAGATGGCAATAGTTGACAGTTAAACAGTCAAACTAGCCCTTCTCTTAAAGTCATGAAAATTGTGGTCAACATTATAGATTTTCAAGCAAATAATCATGCATGCTCTCCCTAGAAAAAGAAGAGCTCATAACCAGAAAACCACTAAAAATCTCTACATTTAGAAAAAATTAAGTACGGACCATATTCAAATGAAGGGGGAGTCAATTACAAAATGGGAACACGTTGTTCCCAAATTATGAGCGACCGACACCGCTTCCCCCTCACATTTTTTTCCCCAAGTTATCCCCTTATCTAGTAAACCAAACACCACGCAAAGAGTTATTATTTTGCACCCACACCGAGAGAGAGAAAAAGAGTTATTATTTTGCACGCATGTCGAGAGAGAGAAAATTTGCCCCTTTGCAGGCCCATCTCTCTTCTTCGCTCTCTCAATCTCAAGGTAATATCCTTCTAATCCCTCTCTTCAATGACCGTCATATCTCTTTTTCTGTCTCTGCTGCCCTCTTTCCCTCTCTAATGGCCCTCTCTTTGTATTGAAACCCTCTCTCAATCTCTCTCTCAGCCAGATGATATCTCTCTACACATACCTTATCTTACCCTCTCCCTTTTCTTCAATTACAAAATGGGAAGAGAGGGAAAAGTCAATTACAAAATGAAAATACGTTATTCTCAAATTATGGGCGGCACCCTCTCCCCCTTCATGTTTTTTTTCTCAAGTTATCCTTCAGTCCAATAAACCGAACACCAAACATAGAGTTATTATTTTGTGTGCACGGCGAGAAAGATAAAATTTACTCTTTTGCTGACCCATCTCTCTCTCCTCTCCCTCCGACTCTTTTTGCTTCCCCCTCTCAATCTCAAGGCAATCTCCTTCTAATCCCTCTCTTTAATGACTGTCAATCTCTTTTTCTCTATCTCTGCTGCCCTCTTTCATTCTCTAATGCCCCTCTCTTTGTATTGAAACCCTCTCTCAATCTCCCTCTCAGGCGGATGATCTCTCTCTACACATACGCATACCTTATCTTACCCTCTCCCTCCTCTTCAAACCTCTTATCACCTCCCACGACAAATAGGCAGCATCAAAGAGGGCGAGGCGAGAGCGAGAGAAACACCAAAGGGGGCAGCAGCTAGAGAATGACCAAAGCGGGAGGCAACAAGAGAGAGAATAAGGCAGTGGCACAGTGAGGGCAACAGTGGGAGAGAGAGGGCATAGAGAGACTGTTATTAGAGAGAGAGGTGTCCTTAAAGATAGGGGAAACAGCGAGAGACGGGCATGAGAGGGAGAAACATTCAGAGAAAGAGAATAAAAAAAAGAGTAATCAGAGAAATTTTAAGACAGAGAGATTGGGAGATATTGAGAGGCAGGGCAGCACAACCGCACAAAGAGAGATTATGGGAGCGGTTTTGAGAGAGGTAGGGCAGCAGAGGGAGAACAAGAGATTGAGAGAGAAACGAAGAATGGAGAGAATGCCCTGCCAAACAAACTTGGGCATTTTTTTACATCACCACCGTTCATTTTTTTACTCTTGAATGGAAGGACTATATATAACTTAAAACGCAAAGCTAGTTGTCCGATATTTCGAACCCTAGAATATTTTTTGTTTAAACGCGAAAAACCCATCGATCCGGTGTTCGATTTAATGGGGAAGACAGTAACTTGAAAAAAATAAGAAAATGCCGCAAAAAAAGCAGAGGGACCACCAATAATTTGAGAACAACGTGTTCCCATTTTGTACGTGACCCAACATGGTCAAGTACGTAATTTTCTCCCACATTTATATACATTTTAAAGGTAGCATAACAGGGAACATTACCTCGTCCCGTCGTCCCGTGAAGCTCGTAAACATCATCCCATCGTTAAAGAAGAGAAAATGCATTAAAAGAGACCATTTATTTTTAGCAAAGTACCCCGTCCATCAAGTTGTTTACCAACCCACATTTAAAGAATAGAAAAAGCATATAAAGAGATCAAAGTATCCCGTCCACGTGATGTAGATTGGGAAGGGTGCACAAGAATGTCAACCTAAGCACCTATCGAATAGTTGACACTTCACCAAGGCCAACCAATAATTGATTTTATTTTTTATTTTTTATTTAAACAAAATATTATTTGAATTTAGGGTGTATGTTTATTTTTAAAAATACAATTAATAAAAAAAATTAAAAATATGTAAAATAAAAATGATCGAATTAATAAAAAAAATAAAAGTATGTTAAATAAAAATGATCAAAATAACCCTAATTTATTTGACCTATATTTTTTGTACGAAATATTTTTTATTATTTTCACTTAATTCTACTCATAAAAATGAGACTAAAATCAAATTTTTAGATCAATGTCATTTTAAAATAAAAAATAAAAACAAAACTTATTTTAACCCTTGGATAAGTATAGTTAAATTTGAACCATCAATGCTTATGCACCTTTTGAGCGTCCACACACCAATCCTTACTTTTAATATAAAGCTTTTGCCATCATATTTAAATGGGATGTTTGTGTATTGTGAAAGGTTTCTATACTTCCCCTACAGCATAAAAGTTCTATCTTCCTACCATCCAGCCATCCAATTTTGATCAAGAGAGTGACTCACCATTTGATCTTAAATCCAACGTCTCAATGTATTTTATTTTATTTTATTTTATACTTTTTGCTAATACGAGTTTAATAACAAAATGGACATCCAAAATTTAATAACGAAATAGTCTAAAAAAAAATTAAAAATAAAATAGTATAGAGATGTGACATTGTGATTGGAACAATCTTAACCCTCCATTCAATATGAAAAGTTGGATAAAAAGAAAAAATAATAAAACTTCTATGTTGTAGGTAAAACATAAAAAGCTTGCCCATTATTGATTAGACAGTTCAAAAAATAATAATTTCTAAAACTACGTAATACAATAAACCTCAAGCCATTCAATTTGACATCTAATGACAACCAACCATTGTAACCTCCTAATATAAAAAATAAAGAGTCTTATAATATACAATCCTTAAACAATAAACACCCCATTTTGCTGCATGTCACTTGAATCAATCTTCCCATGCTTTTTTATACCGTCTAAACACTATTCACTATTCGTACATGAAATTTTTTACACCATAATTTTTATGATTATTCTCAACATCCATTAGCCATGTTCCATGGGCCGTGGCCTTGATCAAAAAAGAAAAACAAAAAAAAATAAACCAGAGCAGTTATAAAATTGGGTAAAAGTACATCCTCAGATACACGTGTAGCAGATATTAGGTCAAAGCACAATGTTCCTTACCGCATCTAAATTAATTTTCCTTGTGCATGTGGCTAGGTGATTCAGCTAAACCACAAAACAATAAAACAACATCATACAAAGCAATTGAAAATTTTACTTCATTACTCAAAATACATCGAAAAACAAAAAACAGCCTAATTTAATTGAAGTTCATATCGGAATTACAATATTTATAAAGAAACTTATCAAACACAAGTTCTCCCAAAAAACAAAAATGTTGATCTCACTTTTCGGTTTGAAAGACCCCGTAGATCATAATAACTAAAGGGAAACATAATTTTGAGAAACAAATGCTTGACAGCAGCATAGATGTTCAAAACCACCATTCATGATTAGGGACTGGAAATCAATTTAGTAAAAGAAACCAAGGACTTTACCCCCAACATTCTTTCTCCGTGCCTCATCATGATCCATAATGCCCGCAGATGTTGTCAACACAATAAAGCCAAACTGCACATTTTTAACAAAGAAAATCCATTAATGGAAAACCCACTTTTTGCCCAAAAAAAATTTTATTTCACCACATGCTGCAATAGTAGATAACTTCCATATAAAAACCAAACGCATCATAACAAACATAAGTCTAACCTGTCTTGAAGGAAGTAGCCTCGCTGTCCACGGCTCAATTTCTTTGACACCAACATCAAAGCGAGGACTGATAACCCCACATTTGTTCAACCTTCCATTCAATTCCACCACAATCTTGCCAGCCCGATGATCATCAACATACTCAAACTCTCCAATGTATCCTGGAAAATAGACGGAGAGAACCGACAAGAATGAGCTTAGCTACTACATCACATGAAGCAATAAAGAACCAGGAATACCCATCTCTCTCCATCCACACTCGTGCTCGAGTGAACGTGCATGTGTGTGCACGTGTGCATCCACGAGAGTTTTGAAAAGATAAAAAAAAGGGACAGGGAGAAACAGACCATGCTTTTGCATGACCAAAAGGAACTTAATGATCACTTTGGATGATGGTCTAATCAAGACTTGCCGCTTTCCACGCTTCTCAGCATTGTAGATGCTTTTGAGAGCATCATTGAGGACACTGATTCTCACCATTCTTGATAGACCTGCACACAGGGAAATTACAAGGATGAACAAAATGATAAGAATAAAAGAAGTAACTCTTTAACAACAAAGAGAGGACAGTGCAGTTTATAAAAAGACAGTGAAGTTAATATTTATCATTAGCTATCACAAAATACATTGCCAGGATCGTTTTCCTTTTTTGTCAAATATGTTAACTGTTCAAAATTGATGCAACAAATGAAAATGTATGCCTCAAGGCCAGTCCCAAATGGTAATTGCAGTAACACCACTACCCAAGGCGATGGAATATGAGCCTGCTCTCTGCAAATGGGGGCTACAATTCCACAAGAGAAGAAGGCAAAAAACTAAATTGTCTTAATAGAAGAACCCACAACAAGCAGAAGCTCTCTTTGCGACGTTTACAGAGGAATTTATGAACACAAAATCAATTCGCTCTATTCTGTAGAGGAGAGTCTCAGCCAGGGACTTCATCCCCCGTTGACAAATTCATCGTCAAATGCATTCATAATGAAAAATTGGAAAAAGAAACAAAAATCAAGAGAACATCAAACAAAAGAAAAACCAGAAATTTCATGAATGTAAGCTTCATGGAGAATCCCAAATCGTAATTGCAGAAATCCGACTGCCCAAGACAATGAAATATGAGGATGCTCTGAAAAGAAACTGCAATCCAGGATTTAGTAAGCCCTAGAAAAGGGAGAACCAACTCTTAACTGGAGAGCCACCACATTATCAGAGCTCTATCGATGACATTTACAAAGGACTATACAAACACTCTTTAATTGTTTGCTCCATTTTTTGAGCTTTAGTTTGCTCCCTTGATCTTGCAATCAAAATCAGAAAGAATGCGATTCAAGACAACGGCTTTGTGGGTGGTTTGGCTTTTGAAAATACGCATGTTTCGTTCCCTCCAAATGTGCCAGGCACAAAAAACAGTACAAACAAAGCAGCTGGCAATAGTCCCATTTCCTTGAAACATCTTAATAAGGCTTTCAATCTCCACAGGCTATTGAAGGGCTGTCTTCTTTGTTTTCCAGTGGTCTTTACTTTCAACTGGAAAGACTTGAATTATCTACGTAGAGTATATAGAGCGGTTCTTGGTGGTTGACCAAGAAAAGCGGGTTGGGTTCTTCTTAATACGTCAAATTCTCCCTCGTGTCTTTGTTGCTAGCATAAGTTCTAACAAAGAACCCGAAGTTAAGACGAGAATACCCCGAAGGGACTCTTGCCTCACCTCCTTCCCTCATTAGAGTGAAATATCTATCTCTAGAGGCGTACACCCCAACTAGATTTGTTCCTCTTGCCTCTCATTCGATCAAACGTATTTATCCCTATGGAGAGACACCCCTGGGGGGAGAGACTAAGCCAGAGCCCTCATCCCTTGTCAAAATTGATTACAAAAAATTCACACAAAATTAATGATGGGAGATAAATAGAAGAACTTAATGAAATTAGGGCACAAATAAAATTGAAAATGGAAATTTAATCAAGAGAGCTATTCTAATAGAAATACAGAACAAGATCCAAAAAAGAAGAAATAGACAAAAATAATGTATTCATAATCACAGAATTGTAACATGTGGTTATGAACATAAAACAGAGGATAAAAAATAAAAAATAATTGCGGGGAGAATGAAAGGCATTAAAATGGTTTTTTCCTTCAGGGTAAATAAGTTAAAAAAGTATAGAGAGAAGCAACTAAAAAAAACAAGATGATAAGAAACTGAATGAGGAGCTGACGAAATGAAATACGCAGTTCTTGAGATTTTCCTCGTTACTTCACATAAGAGAGAGAGAGGGAGAAATTTCTAAGGTGTTCATGGTGGAGAGGGAGTGTGATTCAATAGATACAGAGAGAGAGAGGGAGAGAGAGGGAGAGAGATTTCTAGGGTTTTGATTAGAGAGAGATTTCTAGAATTCTGATGAGAGAGAGGGAGAGATTTCTAGAATTCTGATGAAAGAGAGATTTCTAGGGTTATGATGGTAGAGATAGACCTGAGGTCTGAAAATGAGTGAGAGAGTAATGCGGAGAGTAGGATCAAAATGGCTTGCTGCCAGGATCCATTTCGAAAGTAATCATTAAATTCCCAAATATTCCTTCTGAATGTCATTAATCTTATGTATAAACTGGCATGTAAGGGAAAGTGCATTTTGTACAGATATTTGCATACCCAAGTAGTGCATCGACCTTGTGCAAGAAATAGACGAGTGGAGATGAACTGCTGTACAGACATGGCTCCACTCAAAGTCCGTCTAGTCCATATAACAGTTCATGTCCAGTGTCCATAGTCTAAATGGACAGCGCCTTAAATGTCTAAAACAAGCATGCAGAGAGTGTCCACAGAATGTCCCACATAAAAAGCCACATATACAAAGACGCAATCAATTGCACAAGCCTATATAGTTCTTTCTATGAAATGCATATATTGCTCTTACAATGCAAGCCATATCAATATGTGCAAGAAAGGATGGGTTTACATCACAGGACATTAAAATATGCCATGTCCATCTTGTTCTTAGAATATAAAGTAGTTCTCTTAATCCAATATAATTGCTCCCCTAATTGTAATAGGACAAGCAAGAGAGAGCTCACATGCAAGTGATGTGTACAGCTCATATGAGCATTCATTCGGAAAGCTTTGGTTTCAAATTTGAAAACACGAGGTACTATCTCACTCAAAATATACAAGTATACTACAAATGTTTGATTCTCATGGTAAACACCAAGTGAAGCTTCAGCTGAAGAGATTCCAGACATCCTCGCAGGAGAAGAAGTATGTATTGCCACATTTCAGTGGAACTTCAACTCCCAAAGTTAAAAGTAGTGATGCTACTTTGAACTCTTATATTGCAAAACCTTAATATACCATGATCAGTTTAAGATTCTTTCCAAGTCAAAGCAAAAGCCAGTTGGTTCTTGTGCATGCCCACATAGCTGATGCAAATCACATCTAGGATGTCTAAGAATAGGACTAATTAGAATTTATTTTTATAAGGGGAGAGGTTAGTCTTGTTTATTTTGTTATGATTGTTGGGATTAATTTTGAGGGATATCCATGTAAAGATTGAAAAGGGGTTTTTATTTTATTTAAGATGGACGTGGATGGATTTCGTAGTTTATGGAATTCCATGATCCTATTTTGGTGGGATTGTTAGCTAATTAAAAAGGGAATGATAGGTGAGGGTTGATCACGTGAGAGGTAGAGATATTTCTTTATAGAAAAGTATGAGAAAGGGGGATTTACATGTTATAGAGAGAGAAAATAATGGTAAGTTAGAGAGAGATTGATGTGGATGAGAGAGAGAGATTGATGTGGGAGAGAGATTCTTCTTTACTTTATTTTTGGCTTGCATTTAAAAAGTGTAACTTTCCCCTAAGAAGAGACACTTGGATATTTTTGTAGAGAAGTTTTATGAATGAAG